GTCTGCATCTGTGTGCAACAATCTCATACATCGCAGGCGAAGCAGAAAGCATCGAATGATGCCCAGATTGGTATCCATGCCGCCGAGGCTCTCGTGTCTCGGCAGCAATTGTACTTATCACTTATCCTTGGCTATATGACTATGCATACTACGTCTGAGGAGGGTCAACTGGCGGCCCTGTACGAAGAGTCTCTTGGATTGCATGGTGGATAGGCATGCATGCAAACCCCAAGCCCGAAACCCTACATAAACCCCAAACTCGTGTTATCCACATTCCCAGGGGGGCAGATGATGCCGATTCAAAGCCTTCGAAAAAGGCCGGGCTATCATTGGTTTCAATTCCTTGCAATCACACTTCTTTTCCCTGCTTCAGGGTGCCGATGCTCGCCAACGGTCCACCACGGGTCCTCAGGTCGCTTGGTTTAGCAATAGTCCGACTTATAGGGGTGCAGGGTTGTTGTAAGGATGACGGATCCTATCACCTAGCTCAGGAGTTCGCCCTCGGTGCTATCGATTCGACATCACTTAGCATTCCCCCAGAGGCTATCGAAGCTTGCATTGGCGGAAAGCATCAGCCCGCAAACCCGCACAAGCAACGACTGCTTGTTGCATCCAACAAACCGGCCAAGCTGCCGCGACCGAAAGCCAAAGCAGCAGCTTCACCAGCAGCAGCCACAACACCTGCCAAAAAAGCAGCTTCCCCGAAAGAAGAATCCGCCCCGGAGGCCAAAAGCAAACCCCGCCAAGACACGGCCTATGGGCTGGAGAGAAAACGGTTCATGGCCACGATTCTTGGCTAACACAGATCTCGAGTGCCTGCCGATTGTGCCTGCCCCTTGCCCTTAAATCTCACTCCCCCGCCACCCGAGGCTCGACAAGTCCTGGAAGCAGCACGAGAAAGAAGCTGCTTGGCGAGACAGCGAAGCAAGAGAGCAGGTTCTTCAGCTTTTTTCCGAACAGGAACAGAAGAAAAGGCGCTATACTCGCTAGGAGGTTGCACCTTGTGTTCTTCGGATTGTTGGGGGTCTGAACGAAAAATACTATATGGCTCCTAGGCTGTAGCTCTAGCATGCACTATAGCCGGCAATAAAAGGTTTGGACTGATGGCTCCCACGATCCCCAACTCGGCTTGTTGCCATATCGCAGCATGCCGGTTTCACGCCGACCGCCTGGGGCAAAGGTCAGAAACACTTGGCATCCTGCGAGCATTGTTGTTGCTATTTGCATGCAACCTTTGAGCTGCTACGAGCATTGTTGTTGCTCTTTGCATGCAACCTTTGAGCTGCCTGATTGCTCGACCGATCAGCTGTTGATGGTTTCGAATCTTATACAGGTCGCAAGCAATGTGCACTTCCATTGTGGGGGGGGCCTCCCCCGCAACACACTTGATCCCTTAACCCGACAAAAACTTAAACCCTAAACCCGACGAACTCAATCCTGGCCTTGGGTTCCATGTGCTAGCCACCAGCCGGCTGGAAGCTCGATCGCCGCCGCCATCAACGATGTGCCTCGTCTTCTGCTCTATATATATATATAAATATTCCCCAGACATATATACCCACAACCTCAATTTCATAGCTTGGCTTGGGATCAAAGAAATAGCAAAATCTCTCTTTCAGTTGGGATTCGTGGCCCCATGCAGCCTAAACCCTGAACCCTAAAACCTAAACCCTAAACACACCAAGCCTCTTCTCCCTGCTTGCCTGATCGTTTCTTCTGCTTGCAAGCACAAAGGCCCGAAGATGCTCCGGATTGGTATGGATCGATCGCCATGGTGCCTCGGCTTCTTGTTGCACGTATACATATAGAGTATGCGACCCACAACCCTAGAACCCTAAGCCCTATACGGGATCCTGTCGCTCCACGGATCTGGGACCTGTGCTAAACCCGGAACCTTGTATATATCCTGAACCCTAAACTCAAACTCCACCCGGAACCCTAACCCCGGAACCGAAAGCCTGTATTGGGGTTTGGGTTTCGGGCGTTTGCAGGGCCTGCAGGTGGCGGTTTGAAGACAACCCCCAAACCTAAACCCAAAAAACTTAAACCCTAAACCCTACATTGGAGTAGACATGCACTGTACTATATGCACATCGCGATCGATTACCTTGATCGATGCTACTGGCCACAAGAGATGGCGGAGTCTGTTTACAAAACCAGTCTTGCATGGCATTGTTGCTGCAATCTGACAGATGGAAGATTGGCGACCCTGGCATGTCGGCATGGTGATCGTACTCATTCGCTTGCAACTGTCATGCGACATGCGAGTAAAGTCTTAAGTGCCCTCGTGCGAGAAAGAGAGAGAGAGAGAGAGAGAGAGAGAGAGAGAGAGAGAGAGAGAGAGAGAGAGAGAGAGAGAGAGAGAGAGGCCAGACACAGAGAGCGAGGGAGAGAGAGAGAGAGAGAGGCCAGACACAGAGAGCGAGGGAGAGAGAGAGAGAGAGAGAGAGAGAGAGAGAGAGAGAGAGAGAGAGGCCAGACACAGAGAGCGAGGGAGGGAGGGAGAGAGAGAGAGAGACAGAGGGGACAAACACAACACGCCAAGAAAAACCTAAGCCAGCCCTATCCGGAAGCCGCACAAACCCCAAACCCTAACCCCGCTTCTGCATGTGTCATTGGCACATCTGCCGCCCTTTGATTGTTTGATTATAGTGCTTAGGGTTTAATTTGGGGTTTCAGTGGTAGTATACCTTATCAACTATATACGACGAGGACTACTATATATCTACTGTCATTTCTATACGACTACATATTATAACCATGCACCACCACTGTACGATAATACATATATATATATATATATATGTAGATATATACATATCTACATATATATATATATACATATATCACTACCAGTCACTACCACTATACACCACTATCCACCACTGTATTCCACAACACCACTATACACCACTTTACACATATATACGCCACCTATACTACTACTACTATACTACTACACTACTATACTACTATACTACTATATTACTATACTACTTGTACATGCTGCACTTTGCAAAGCCGCTCCACTCAGGATGGGAAAATCGATCGATGCTGGCTCGGCCGCTGCTTGAATCTTTCATTGATGGGTTTCATTCCCTATACCCCGTGTCCCAAACCCTAACAAATTAAGGCATGCTATAGCTCCCAACCCCAAATCGAAGAGCCGAGTTCGGGGTTACCGGGGTTCACAGTTGTATACTGCTACGATTATAATTCTAGCTTTACTATATATATACTATATATAGTATAGCAGTACCACGACTATATAGCTACTGCTGCTGCCACTGCTGCTGCTCATACTATACAGCCACTGGCACTGCTACTGCATGCTGCTCCTATACTCTATATATACACCACTATGTCGCTATATACCACTATACTACTCAGGACTGGAACCTCAATCGATGCTGGATCGATCGGCAACTGCTTGATGCTGGAGCGATGGCTGCTTGAAGCTTGAATTAATCGAAGAGCTTAGTTCAGGGTTTTCGGGAGTTCTGATTTGTATGGCTACTCTGTATACATACATATACATATATATATATAGTATACTACTACTATATACCACTACACGACGACTACTACTACTTATACCACTACCATATACCACTATCCCCTTTGACGCCACTAGACACCCCTATATACAGCACTATGTCGCTATATGCCACTATACTACTCAGGACTGGAACCTCAATCGATGCTGGATCGACCGCTGCATGATGCCGGAGCGATGGCTGCTTGAAGCTTGAATTAATCGAGGAGCTTAGTTCAGGGTTTTCGGGAGTTCTGATTTATTACATACATATATATATACTATACTATACTACTACTACTACTACTACTACTACTACTACTACTACTACTACTACTACTACTACTACTACTACTACTACTACTACTACTACTACTACTACTACTACTACTACTACTACTACTACTACTACTACTACTACTACTACTACTACTACTACTACTACTACTACTACTACTACTACTACTACTACTACTACTACTACTACTACTACTACTACTACTACTACTACTACTACTACTACTACGACTACTTACTACTACTACTACTACTACTACTACTACTACTACTACTACTACTACTACTACTACTACTACTACTACTACTACTACTACTACTACTACTACTACTACTACTACTACTACTACTACTACTACTACTACGCTACTACTACTACTATACTACTACTACTACTACTACTACTACTACTACTACTACTACTACTACTACTACTACTACTACTACTACTACTACTACTACTACTACTACTACTACTACTACTACTACTACTACTACTACTACTACTACTACTACTACTACTACTGTACTACTGCTCCTTATATACTACTTCTGCTGCTACTACTACTGCTGCTACTACTACTGCTGCTACTACTACTACTACTAGTACCACCACCACTACTACTACTACTACTACTACTACCACTACTACAACAGTGCTGTCTTGGCCCCTCCATCCAGGATCGGATTCTCGATGATGCTGATCGATCATCCATGGATCGATACCGATCCACATATCCTGATCGATGCGAGGATTATGCTTGGCCGCAGGGAGAGCTTAAGACTTGTGGGTTGGGTAGCACTATATGTGGTGAAGAATAAGGCACACAAGTACACATAGTGGTCGCTTAGGGGCATGGTTTCACTCGAGATGTGCATCGTGTGTGGAGCTGTGAACAAAAACAGTTTTGCCATGCAACAACTCGGGGCGTGTATCAGCGTGTATCTCCGTGCCAACGTCGCTTATTAAGCGACATTGAGCGTGTATTAGCGTGTATCTCTTGATCGCCTGATGTCGAGATTCGCTGAGCTCGAGATGGATCCGGATCATGATCGCACTAGCGCCAATGTAGCTTAATTCTGATGAATGTAGCTTGATTTGGATGAATGCTGATGACCTGTGCATACTGTACTATACATTCACCACTCAGCATACCCCCGTGCAGCCATGGAAAGTGCAGAGTGGAAGGATTGGAAGGATTGGTGGAAGGGTGATGAGGGCTGGTCCCAGGGCTGGAACCACCAGTCTTGGGGCGGGCAGGAACAAAGGGTCGACCGCAGTCGGCCTGCAGCCGAAAAGGAAAAGCTGTGGCAGTCCTGGGGACAACAGTGGGGAGCAGGCTGGGTCCTATGCACAACAACACATCTTGCATGCACAGACACACACACACGAAGCCAAAAAAAAAAAAACCTATGCATTTCGCTATGTAGAAAGCACATGCTCGTACACGTGCGGTCAAACCTTTGAACCTTTGAATATCCGAAGCCCTGCCCCCCCTCTCCCGAAAATATCCTCGGTATGTGCATGGAACACATGTAGCAGCCTTGGTGTTGTGTCTAGGCACAGAAGAAGAGAAGGCCACGTGGCTTGAAGTTGCCACAAAGGGCCACCAGAAAGCAAGCCAAGAAGAAGGAAAAGGAAAAGGAAAGGAAAAGAGCAAAACTGCTGAGAAGGGCCAGGAAAAGGGAAAAGGAAAGGAAGAACCCCGCCAGGGCAAAGAGAAACAGGAGGCAGGCCAAGAGAAGGGAAGGGGAAAGGAGAAAGGAAACCCTGCCGACAAGGGCCAGGAGAAGGGAAAAGAGAAGGGCAAAGGAAAAGAAGGAAAAGGACAGGAGAAGGGAAACCTTGCCGCCGAGAAGGGCCACGAGAAGGGAAAAGAGAAGGGAAAAGGAAAAGAGAAGGCTCCGGAGAAGGGAAAAGGACAGGAGAAGGGCAGTCCTGCCGAGAAGGCCCAGGAGAAGGGCCAGGAGAAGGGCCAGGAGAAGGGAAAAGGAAAAGAGAAGGGCCAGCAGAAGGGGCAGGAGAAAGCAAAAGGAAAAGAGAAGGACCAAGAGAAGGGAAAAGGGCAGGAGAAGGGAAACCTTGCCGCCGAGAAGGGCCAGGAGAAGGGAAAAGAGAAGGGAAAAGGAAAAGAGAAGGCCCCGGAGAAGGGAAAAGGACAGGAGAAGGGCAGCCTTGCCGAAAAGGGCCAGGAGAAGGGCCAGGAGAAAGGAAAAGGAAAAGAGAAGGGCCAAGAGAAGGGAACGGCGCAGGAGAAGGGCAGCCCAGCCGAGAAGGGCCAAGAGAAGGGAAAGGGAAAAGAGAAGGGCCAGGAGAAGGGGCAGGAGAAAGGAAAAGGAAAAGAGAAGGGCCAAGAGAAGGGAAAAGAACAGGAGAAGGGAAACCCTGCCGAGAAGGGCCAGGAGAAGGGGCAGGAGAAAGGAAAAGGAAAAGAGAAGGGCCAAGAGAAGGGAAAAGGGCAGGAGAAGGGCAGCCCACCAGCCGAGAAGGGCCAGGAGAAGGGGAAAGAGAAGGGAAAAGGAAAAGAGAAGGGCCAAGAGAAGGGAAAAGGGCAGGAGAAGGGCAGCCCACCAGCCGAGAAGGGCCAGGAGAAGGGAAAAGGAAAGGAGAAGGGCCAGGAGAAGGGAAAAGGACAGGAGAAGGGCAGCCCTGGCGAAAAGGGCCAGGAGAAGGGCCAGGAGAAAGGAAAAGGAAAAGAGAAGGGCCAGGAGAAGGGAAAAGGGCAGGAGAAGGGCGACCAAGAGAAGGGAAAAGGGCAGGAGAAGGGCAGGGCCGCCGAAAAGGGCAAAGAGAAAGGCAAAGGACAGCAGAAGGGGAAACTCGCCCTGCTGCAGGGCAAAGGAACCTCACCAGAGAAGGGCCAAGGCAGGGACAACAAGTTTGGGCTGTGCACAGCCGGGGGTATGCGAGCTCTCTTCGGGCGAGGCAACACCGGGCAAGCAACCTCTTCCAAAGGCCCGGGGCTCATGTCTTGCATGGCATGCATGCATACTATGTATATATGTATATAACCCCACCGAATAATCCTGTCCCGAAATCGAGCTGGCCAAGGCTCTGGTGCCTCTGGTGCCGGCACTGATCCGAGCCGCAAAAGAACCTTCGAAACGGCCGGTGCTGCAAAGAGCAGTTCCAAAGGCCGCTGGGGTGTGGGCTCTTGGGTTCTTGTATAATATAAGAATAGATTTTTTCGAAAGCACATGCATGCTGTCGGGATGAGGCAAGACCGTGGCCAATGACAACGAGGATCCGGACTCTAAGAAGTCGCCGGGCTGAATATTCGTTGCTTAATTTGGCTGCCGGGCAACACATGCCTGCCAGGCCTCGTCGCACGGACACCACCGAGACATGGGCCAGCGATCCCGGAGATCCGATGGATGAAGAAGCGGTGCCTCAGGCATCCAAGCTGACCGGCTTTATCTTCCCCGGGAACCCGAATTCCGTTTTTTGGATGCAATGTAGGATGGCTTCAGTTCTCGTCTTGTCCTATAACCCTATAAACCCTGAACCCTAACACTTCAGGCTCGAAACCTCACGGACCAGCAGAGAGCCGAGATTCAGGCCCTATGCTTGCATCCATATAATGATAGCTACAGTCGAATCTAGCAGATCCCTATCTGTCGAGGCCTTGAGTAAGCCGGAAGACATCGAGCTAACCGAAAGGAAGCGGCTCAATGAGGGCCTTCGACGCCGCATGAAGAATCCGCAAGGTTGGCAGCAGAGAGAGAGAGAGAGAGAGAGAGAGAGAGAGAGAGAGAGAGAGAGAGAGAGAGAGAGAGAGAGAGAGAGAGAGAGAGAGAGAGAGAGAGAGAGAGAGAGAGAGAGAGAGAGAGAGAGAGAGAGAGAGAGAGAGAGAGAGAGAACATGTTGTGATCCAGGACTACGAAAGGGATTGGTTGAGCAGTGGCAAGCTGCCGTATCGCCAACGGACAAGTCCCCAGGCAGCAAATACGGGTTCAAGTCGACTGCAGCTCTAGACCCAACATATCGCTGAGGTTTGCTTTCTTGAAAGCCTACCTGCTCGATACGCAGATGAGTTCCATCGAGGTGCAGCCCTACTTCGAAGAGCCGCTGGGCTCACAAACCATGTCTTTGTAAGATCTCTTTAGTGAACTTTAGTGCAATCCCCGAGCCCCTGCGACTCGATCATCCAAGGCTGGCAGAAACGGTCAACAATGAGCGGTTCATAGAACTCCCACTATGTGAGATAAAGCAGAAGTACGCCCACCTTCCCGGAGGAGAGAAGTTTATCCAGGACTTGCAGGCGAACCAGACCGGCAAGACCCACCCGCAGACCTCCGACCCCGAATGGCGGATTTACAAAATTTTCAAGTGTGTGGATCTGTCTAGAGACTCGCCTGCATTAGTTGTTCCTGCTGTGTCCGACACCCATGCAGTCCTTAAGAACCTGTAATTTAACATCCCGCCGAGGTGCTACCATCAGCCGGGTCGGGACGAAAACTTCGGCCTCGCTCAGGCCCAGCTCAAACAAGGAGGAGAGAGCGGCCTTGGCTGCCACGCTCGAAGCGAAAGCTTCTGCAATGGCCAGATCACAGGTCGCCGCAGATGCGAAACCGAAGAAGCAGGGAAAGCCGAAAAAGGCCAGGGAGAGAGAACGAGAGAGGGAAGAAGAACCCTTATATATACAGGGTGATTATACCCCAATCCCTCAACCCTAAACCCTAACCGTGCCTGTCATGCGAGAGGGAAAACCCTATACCCCATAGAACCCTACACATTTACATCCCCTTAGCTGTGTTTCTTCAGGAGCTGACAGAAGAGGAGAAGCTGAAGAGGGATTTCAACAAAGATCACCAAGGGTTTCGAGCCCAGACGATAGCTTGCCTGCCTCCGCTTGTTTTCATGTTGCAATAAACAATGCAGTGCAACTCAGGGTACGGAACATGTCGGACAAGGCGGTGCTCGTGGCGACTTCTATCACATCTGCTGGCATTTTGAACCAGGAGGCACACTGAAAGCTTGCCGTGCTTTCTGTACATGAATTACAAGTCGAGACTTGTAACACCATACAGGGGTTTAGGGTCTAAGGGTTTGGGGGGTTGGGCTGTATAAGGGTTTCAGACTTCTAGGGTTTGGGAGTTTGTTTGGGGTTCCGGGTGAAGCCTTCAAGCCCAAGCGATACCCTGAACCCAAGCCCGAAAATGTGCTTAACCCTGATCCTGAGAAAATGGTGGAGCACCTCGGCACCATCTCGAAGGAGTGCAGCGAGATCCATGCCGAGATGCTTGGAGTGGCATTATATGTCGACCGTCGGCTGCCGCATCCGATCGCTGTGCCTCGAATCACGTGTGCATGATAGATGCATCGATCTGAGGCTGCAGAGCATGGTGTTCGCTTGCAAGCCCCTGGAGGATTGTGTATATGCTTTGGAGCAGTACAAGCCGCAGCTGGAGGCTACAATGATGGTTGGCTCACCTGAGCCCGCACCCTCACCCTGGATTGTCCGAGTGTATAATTCCTAAAATTCCCACACCCCATAACCTTGACCCCCAAACCTTACAGAAGCATTGTGCAGGCCAAGCAGAAGATCATCACCGATGCCGAAGACATCGTCGACTCCAACAAGCGACGTACTTTGGCTTCAATTGTTGGCATGCACACTCAAGTTAGTCTCGTAAGATTCAACAGCATGCAGGCCTCGCGACTGAGAAGCGGAAGCGAGAGAAGGAGGAAAAAAAGAAAGCCGACGGCGAGGATGAAGAGGAAGATGAAGATGATTTTCATGATGAAGATGGTGCTCCCGAAGACGAGCAGCCCGAAGAGGAGAACCAGGAATGGGCCGATGAGGAGCCGCCTGCAAAGCGGGCGAAGTGATCCATGGCTACTTTTGGGGGCTAGGGCAGGCGGTGTGTGCATGCAATGGGGTGTAAGCAGTCTATAGACAGCCATGCATATATGATCCTCGATACACATGCACACACACACACATATATATACATGTATACACTTCCTCGAACACACGACCCTGCCCTTATGCTGCACTTGTGTTCCTGCTACAGCACTGCGAAGCTCGCGATGAGCTGCCAAAAACTAACTCGTGAGCAGACCGTTGCCTGCACAGTGCCTCGCAGTTGCATGCAGCCAGTGGATGCGCCAAAACCGCCCCGCCTCAGCTTGCCCAAGTGGCCCAATTTAGTACTGGTGGTCCATGCAAACCCGAAACACCAGCCTAACTTATAAACCCTAAGCCCCAAACCCCAAACCCTTTACAATTACCCTAAACCCTAAACCTTAAACCCCCAACCCTAAACCCAAAACCCTACATTGACCCTGTAACTCGTTCAGGCCCGAAACCTAGACACCAAACCTTTAAGACGTTGTTTCGATGGCAGAATATCCTGCATCCTCGACCGATGGCGATTACATGCGAGAATATGTACAACAAACCTGTGACCAAGCCCTGGAGCAACTTGCCAATGGACAGGCCAGTGATTGCATGCATTGTTGAAACAAAAAATACAGGATACCCCTGAAAATTGCAGGTTCCCTTGGCTGAGTTGGCCAAATCGATGGCCAGGGTCTACGACTTGCCTCATGCACTGGTCCCGCACCTCGACTGCATTAACTGTTGACCTTGTATAGTTGGCCGGTGCTCCTGGTAGGGATTCCACGCCTTCGATCGAGGCCAGACTTGCTGGAGCTGTCGATGGCATTTCATGGACAGACAAATTCCTGGGGGCAGATGCGACTCCTTGAACGATGGGTGGACAAACAGCCCTGGAGGCAGGCACTGCCGAAAACATTTCGGAGCCCGAGCTGCATCGCTAATCCGAATCAGCATTAATTATATAGACATCATCCGAACTGCAAACCAAGGATTCCGGTGACGGCCTGCTACAGCGATGCTCGTGGGTCAAGGACCCGGGAAATTGATCATCACATGTTCCTCCCGCACGAGATCTTCGCCTCGCTGCATGCTACTTCTAATTCAGACCTGCTGTATGAGAATACTCAGAAAGCTACCTGGCCCCCAGAAGTACAAAGTATAATTATATGCATCTCGGAACAACCCTGAACCCCAAACCTCTCAGAACGCCTGTGCCGATCCAAGGTTCGGGAATATTGGGCAGATCAGGATCAGCAGTGGTGCCAGAATCATCCGATCCTGAAGGTTCCGGGGCATGAGGGTCTCGGGTGCAGTTATAAATGGATGTCGAAACTAAGGAATCCGATTGGGGAGACTGTGTGCCGATCCGCCTATATGGCGATGGGGCTGAGTTCACCAGCAGCCTGTTTGCAGATTAAGTGTTGTGCTCGCAAGAGCATTCATGCTTTCAATTGTGCGATCCTGCTAAAATCCAAGAAAAACAAAAGTTCGAGATGTTCTGCATGCTGGCTCCCTTGAGCACCAATGGTTCGACAACCTTGGACGGGCGGTTCTTGTCACCGGACCGCATATCAGACCTATTGTTACATGTGATCATAAATACGGCGACCGCCAGCCTGACTGATTGGCAGGCTGTCGTGCTTGAACATGTGCTACCACGGCGAGCAGACACGCCAAAAGATACTGGAAACAATTGCATGGAGCCTGGAAGCCTTAGCAAATGGGAAATATCCCGCAACTGACCCTTGGGGTGTTCCCTTCAGCAAAAGCTACGAAGGGCATCGCTTCAAGAAGGCCGGTGCAAACCTAGTGGAAACAGCTGGTGCAGCCACCCGTGGAATTTTCGATGGGATACAAGCTGACTTGGAGTTCGTCAAGCGGATTCTATTCTTGAAACGAGACTTGGTTTGAATTCTGTAAACCCGAACCCTACAACAAATCCTTTAACCCTCAAGCCCTACATGTTAACATGCAGCTATACCCACACATACCCTATAAACCTCCGCCCAGGCGATTATACACGGAAGATGTGCTGTTTTTTATGCCAGGCGGGGATCCACTTAATTGTTATGTTCAACTTGTGGTTAAGTTATATTCGCAAGCCCTGTCCCGAGAGGCACTGCAATGGGTGTACGTCAATGGCGATCCCGAGGGGGCCCCCAATGATCCGAATCTGTTATATACAAATTTCGGCCCTCGGGCTTTGCATAGGATGACGCTTCTCGTCTCGCATTATTCAAATCTGCAGCCCGGAACAGTCATGTACAACTTATAAAGTGTTGATCCACATCCCTTTACAGGTTGGTTGATGCCAGCGAATTTATCCGAGTTCACGGCCCTTCGCCGCTCGCGATGCTGACCGGCTTTGATCCATGGCGAAGCTCGCATGCAAGGCTGTTAACTGTTTTGCTTTTGTGGGTTTACAGGGCTCCTAGAATTATAAACTCCCCGAGCCCGAACCCTACAATTACAAACCCTGTATATAAGGAATTTGGCCCGACACTATGCACTTGCTATATCTGGCAGTGGTGCCCGATGTTCTGGGGAGCATATTGTGCGACCTGACGGATGGCAACCCAGCACAACGTGAAGCTGAGCTGGACAACTTGTGGGAGAGTTACCGCAGCTGGTGCGAAGAATCAGGCTCGAGCAGGGCGGACAAATAAATTAGTCGGGACCTGCCTGCAGTGATTGCTTTGAAGACAGGAGTGGTTGACCGTGCGGCCCGCAGACTCTTCTCTTCAGCGACACTCCACCCGAAGTCGAGGGACTACTTGCAAATCTCTCAGAAGATTCTCTCTGCTGCGGCCGCAAGATATGCTATATTCTGGCTCTCAAGTCTTCTGAAACACTTGATGCAGCAGCATCCTGGCGACCTTTTCTATGCGACCTCTGGCCTGATTTGATACATGGTTTTCCTCGTGACGGTTTTCTCCATACAAACCCTAAACCCTAAACCCTATAAACTTATAAACCTTAAGCCTTAAACCCTAATTTAAACTAACCTTCCCAAGCTCGCCATCCCAAGGCTCAGGGCGGGAGTGTGCATCTCTCTCGCGAATATCGAGACCATCATGCTGCAGGGAGGAAGAAAGCACACCGATGCTGAGGTTGAGGCCCTTAAGTCGTCGTATATGATTTTTCGCAGCGGATACAGCAAGCTGAATTCTGCAGCCCTGGATGCCGGTGTATGCCGGTGGCCAATGCGACCGAAACAGCACTACATCGAACACTTCATCCTCGATACGCTTCCCTTGAACGGCCGCTACCTGCACAACTTTTTAAGCGAAGACTTCATTCGCCGTATTAAACTGGTGGCAAGCAAGTCTATGCCTGCGTTTCTGAGCAAACACGTTTGCTTGAAGTACTCGCTCCAGACGTGCCTTCGATGGAGGGGGTGAAAAAAGATTCCGAGTCTGCAGATCGACGGTGCACTCTCTCTCTCTCTCTGCTCTCCCGCTCTCTCTCTCCCACGGTCTGCACGTGTGTGTGTGTGTGTGTCTGTGTGTTTGTGCGGGTTCGGGTTTTAAAGTGCATGTGTACATGTATATATATATATATATACATATATATATATATATAGAGTTATAGATTTTTCACTTGCACACAGAAATTCTAAACACGAAGTTTGGAATGCGACAGCGATCGCGACAACCAATACATGTTTTTTTTTCCGAAAGGTGTGCATATACTGCAAGCCACAATAACAATAGACTAGCCCAGATACAACTTTTGGAAGCAGTTTCGACAGCGAGTCGAGATTATTCATTCCAGTCAGCAAATTCTCAGCCATATCGGCGCTCTCGCCGCAAGTTTTCAAACATGTTTCTTAAACGATTGTAAAATTCCAGGTCAGGTACAATCTGCTCAAAAAATCATCACTCCAAAATCCCAATGTTAAAATCCACCCAATAGGTAACGTTCAGGCTAATCGTCGCTTGTTGCCCGAACAGCCCTTGTTATGATGTCGAACGGCCCGGGCTGGTAAGGCTGCCGACGAACGAGGCGGAGCTTTCTTCGTGGGAGCCTATCGCCATGGAGGCATCACAAGACTGCGATCGTCCTGTCATTCATGGCCGTGGGCGATCAAGGCGATCACCAAGTACATCGCTCAACAGGCTCCTGAGGCGCTCTTCACGTCGTTCGCCGTCCTCTACGATCAGGAGGCCGAACCTCACCGTGACTCAGGCAACGAGCCGATCCCGAACATTGTCTTCAAGCTCGGGTCGTTCGAAGGAGGCGGGCTCTGGATCGAAGACCCGCTCGGGCCCGATGTGCGAGAGATCGAGGGACGCTCGATCCCCGGTTTCAACACCGACTTCGTCGACAACAAGATCCTCTTCAACGCTAAGGAAGCTCTGCATGCGACCCTGCCCTGGACCGGAACTCGGGTGGTCCTCGCAGTGTACTCAGTGCAGGGGGTCGATCGGGTCCCTTCCGACGAGTTCGAACAGCTCCTTCAGCTGGGCTTCAAGCCGGCGCCGGTGAACACAGGTGATCACGTGGATCAGTCCTGGCAGGCTCTCACTTTTGCGCTCGAGACCCCGGACTCCGATCGGAAACGGCCCCATGGCGCCCCGGTCAAAGCCACGGAACATCGTCAACGATCGGCTGGCAAGAAGGCCGTCGCCGCGGGTTACCAGATGAAGAAGTCTGTGGTGGCTCCGCTGATCGGCACTGAAATGCACCCGGGTGAAGCGATCGCCTTCGCCTTGGAAGCTACACACCCGTTCACACAGGACGCGGATATCGACCCAGATCTCCTTGATGTTCTTGAGCACATTGTTCGTGATCCTGCTCAAGTTCGCGATCGTCGAGCCTCTCTTCTGCAGCATTGGGAACGGCGAGCTCAGGATTTGCTCCCGTCCTCTGATTCCTTGCTCAAGCAGATACCAGATCAGCATTTGCGCCGTCTTCTTCGCGGCGGCCCCGACGATCGTCCACTGGAAATGGGTCAGTTCTTCCACGTCGCCCTTTGGCGGGAGCTCATGAATGAGGCCAAATGCAGTGACACTGACCTGGTGGATCAGATCATGGCGGGCATGCCGATCGTCGGCGATATCGCCTCGTCCCACCGATGGAAGCCCGATCGCAAACCTCATGCGGAGCATCTCTCGGTTGATGCCCTTCGCTCGAGGGCCTGGGAATTTCGATCGAAGGTGTTAGGCGCGATTCGGAGATCTCCGATCACCGAGCACTCTCCCAAGGTCTGGGAAGGGACCATGGAAGATGTTCGAGAAGGGTCGGCGATCGGTCCCTTCTTCGACGAGGCCGAAGTCTCGGAGTTCGTCGGCGATGATCACTGGATCCCCACTCAGCGCTTTGAAGTGGTCCAAAAGAACAAAGTCAGGGGAGTTGACAGTGCTACCTCGAATGGGATCAACATGGCGACGATCGTCACTGAGAAACTCGAACTCCCCTCGACGGACGCGAACGTGGCGGTGATCAAGTGGCTGCGCTCGCGGCTGCCGAAGTCCCCGCTACGGGGTTGGGTCCTGGACGAGCGGCGAGCCTATCGGCAGGTGCCGATCTCTCCGGCCCATCGCAAGTGGAGTGTGGTCGCTCTGAAGGATCCGGCCACAGGAAAGGTGGCGTTCTTCGTGATGGTCGGTCACTCCTTCGGCTTGGTCTCGGCCGTATATAACTACAACCGTCGCTCGGCTGCGATTACCGACATTCTAAGGCGCGTGTTCATCGTGGCCGGCTTCAACTTCTATGACGACAAGTACGGCTTCGAGCCGGAGGCCACGGCAGATAGTGCGTTCGCGCTGGCCGAGAAGGTCCATTGGTGGCTCGGGGCCCGGTTCGATCAGCAGAAGCTTCAGCTCTGCTCTGATCCCACGATCCTGGGCGTGACCTATGACCTCGATCAGTACTTGCTCAAGATCAAGAAGTCCAGGAAGCAGGAGCTCTTCGACGAGATCTCGGCGATCCTGGAACACGAAGAGCTGTCTCCCGGCCAAGCCGGGAAGCTCAGAGGAAAGTTGATGTTCGGCGCTTCGCAGCTCTGGGGGAAGATTGGCCGCGCCTTCCTGAGATCTCTGTCGGAGAGGCAGTACTCCCGGAAGACGGTCAGTACGAGCCTATCGCCTGCTCTCCTCTACTCCCTCTACAAGTGGCGGACGCTCGTGATGCATGGGCCTCCGAGGCCTATCCCCAGTTCGGGGCCGCGGAAGTCCGACGTGGTGATTTTCACGGATGGATCGGCGCCGAGCTCGAACCCCAAGGATCCCTCTTCTGAGATGATTGGAGGAGTGATGTTCACTAGGGACGATCAGCCTAGGCAATTCGCCTCGGGGGTGTCACGGCTGATCATGTCGAGGTGGTTCCCCCGGAAAACCCAAATTTGCATGATCGAACTTTTAGCCGCGGTCGCTGCGATACAGACTTTCAGGGAAGAGATCCGTGGAAAGCTGGTCCTCCTCTTTATCGATTCCGAGCCCGTAGAGGCAGCTTTGATCAAAGGCTACTCTGCAAAAGAGGACGTCTGCGAGCTCGTAGGAATTTTCTGGGAGCTTGTTCTGGAGCTTAGGTGCTCAGTTTATATCGATCGGGTACCGACCGATTCGAACCCGGCGGATAACCCCTCTCGTGGTGATGTCGCTACAGGTCTGATGTGTGGTTGGATCACTGTCCTCTCGGACTTTCCGAAAGGAGTTTGAGGGCCTGGGAATATCGCTTGTCTGATGTGTCCGATCGGATGATGTTGCGGTCTGTGGTGAATGCCATGGCGCACCCCTCGGTGATCGGGGGTCCGATCGGACTTGTGAAGATCAAGTGAAATTTTGATGATCCGACTGTGGCCGACTCCCACGTTGCGGTCGCATGAAAAAGGTGCGATCGCCGATCGTCTGTTCAGTGAGGGCACCGAACGTCTGCGATCGTAGTAACTGGTCTCCTAATTATCGGTCTGGTGGGTAGGAATTAGGAGATCAGTTTCGCGATCGTTGGAACAGACTTGATCTATCTTTTCCGTGGCCATTTTGGCGATAGCCGATCGGGCCATACCGAAAAATCCCACCCTCTCCGCCCTATCTGTTCTTTTCGGTATGCGGGATCCTCGCAACGACGTTGGCCTTCAAGCGCTCGCTTTTGGCGACACAGATCAGCTATGCCGTCCCTGCGTGGATTGCGGCCTGTTCACCGGCTGCTTCTGCGACGGGGACGGCCAAGACGAATGTTACGCAGCCGTTCGGGTCCCCCGCGAAGAGTGGGCCCCCAACCGCGCACTCCTTTGTGCACGGCTTGCGATCGTCGCCTGGATATGTGTCATTTCTGCCGAAAGACCCCCTGGGTCACGCCGCCGGCTCATCGTGATCGCGATCGTCACCAGCCGGCCGGCTACGATCACGGGGCAGATCCTCCCCTCAACTGGGATCAAGTGATCGGCGTGCCCTCTGTTCAGCGGCCGGTGCCCAAAGCGCCCCCGGCCAAAGCTGCTCGTAACAGAGGCATGGATCAGCCGGTCTACTATGTGGATCCCAAGGCTGGTCTGCCGCGCCAAGGCCGAGCGGCTCCGAAAGGGCGTTCTCCTTTGTTCGCCGAGCCTGCTCAGTACATAGTTCCAGGGCAGCCCCCCAGATCGCTCGACGAGGTGCCCGATGACGTCCGCATCAGCGGACCGGCTCACTATGTCATTCCGGGGCAGCCCCCGCGTGCGCAGCTCCCTCCCGGCACCGAGATCATGGTGCCTACGAGGAGCTCGAGTCCGCCGACCACAGCGCCGCCGACTCCCGCCCAGATCGCGGCGTACCAGGCTTCTCGCGCTGCTCCCGCTCGGACGAAAGCCAAAGCCACTCCTGATGCAGCTTTTCGTGCTGCCGAGCGGCAGTTGATCGATTTGCTCGGCGCGGCCCCCCTCGCCGACGACCCGATCGAGGAGCCGTCGCCAGAGCCCTATGATCCGATCGAAGACTTTTAATTTTGTTCGCGGGGAATATCGCTTGTCTGATGTGTCCGATCGGATGATGTTGCGGTCTGTGGTGAATGCCATGGCGCACCCCTCGGTGATCGGGGGTCCGATCGGACTTGTGAAGATCAAGTGAAATTTTGATGATCCGACTGTGGCCGACTCCCACGTTGCGGTCGCATGAAAAAGGTGCGATCGCCGATCGTCTGTTCAGTGAGGGCACCGAACGTCTGCGATCGTAGTAACTGATATATATATATATATATATATATATATATATATAGAGATATATCCTGCATACATACATATATATATATGTATGTATATATACACATATTCTCTTTGGCATAGCTTAATTTATATAAGAAATGTATATTGCGATGAAGATTGATTTGTTGGCCATATATAGACAATATATGCTGGGAACAGCAAAAGCCACAGGAACGAGAACGGGAGCACCAACAGCGACACAAATCGCCACACGTGGCCAGA